CCTCATAAGAGGCACGAGTGAGATTTTGAGATTGCATGATTCCAAAGCTCATATTACACCCTTTGGGACAAAATAAAGAGTAAAAGAGCAAGAACTGCAGCTTTTTAATAATGTCAAACTCATGATGAATGACTAACGGGGCAAGAATGTTGAGAATCCCAAAGTTATTCTGGTAGCACAAGACCAAAGTTATAACACAGGGCATATTTTCTGTTTGTTTTTACTTAATCATAGCTTATTAATTATTTGCATGAAGTTCTTTTGTGTATCTGTCTCAGGAGTTTTGCTTGTCTTCTCATTTCAGACCATCATTTCCTTTCCTCAGTATTTTCTGTCCATTGAAGTCTTTGTCAGGCTCCATTCTAGTTTTCTGAGTCTATTTAATTTTTTTCTTTATGTTTTCCTTAGTAGTTCTTTCTGATGTCCCTGAGTTCTTACACATAATTCAACCATTTTTAACTTTCTTAAAAATAGTAAGGCAAAAACATCTTAAATTTTAAACAACTGATTAGGTAAACCCTATCCATCCAAACATTTTAAGAAAAACTCTGAAATGCCTGTGATTTCTAAATGTTTATGTGCCACATTAATTTCAAAGTTAACATACTTGAACATCATACATTGAAATATCCTGAGATTAATTTTGAATGATTAAGCATTCAGAAGCTGGTACAAGTCTTAACATAGTTACTGTCTATATGCCATTGGCTGGTGTCAGCACATGTGAATTAACAAGCCAGGTTTTTATGTGATGACTATCTGGAGCAATGGTGTTGAACCAATGCCTAACTGAACCTTTGGGAGGATATATGAATTTCATGTGTAGAAGATCTTCTTTCTCTATGGATGATTGTCATCCAAAAACAACCTTGGGATCTTTTTAAATTAGAAGCTAATATTTCTTTGAAGTGATTTTTTTTTTTTTTTTTTGTCTTTTTCCGTGTCCGGCAACGGATTGCAACCCTCAGTGTCGCCCCCGTACCGGACCGGGACCGGCAACGGGATTGCAACCCTCGGTGTTGCTCCCGCGCCTCGCTCAGCCAGTGAGCGGGAACCGGTCTGTATGTGGGATCCGAACCCTCGGGCGGGAGCGCCGCTGCTCTTCCCAAGCGGCGCACTACAGCAATGCGCCACCGGGCCGGCCCCCATCCCTTCACTTTTAGCCTGTGTGTGTCTTTATGGGTGAGGTGAGTCTCTTGAAGAC